TTGGCGCCCTCTGCAGGCCTTTGTTGTAATGCGTAATGTACATTAGCTCTATTGTTTATAATACATTATGTATTTTTAACAGTTTTGTTCAATGAAACCATATGATTTCTTGCTTTTGATACTTTTTTGAACTAATTATTATTGCCTCATTGGCTATTAATATGTATAATACTGAACTTTGATTTCAGTGATTTGGACTATGAGATGGACACTTGCTTCTTGCACTCTATGTTGCACTTTATTTTTGCTTTAAAAAAATGATTTCATAGAAATTTGGATTTCATTTGGTTTAATAAAATATAGTTTAATAAAATATTCTTAAGTAAAATTGTTGATTTTTTGTGGGAAATCGTTTAGATTAATCGATTAATCGATAAATTAGTCGATAGATTAATCTAAATAAAAATAGTCGTTAGTGGCAGCCCTAGTGACTATGTGTATTTAGTGTGTATTAGTGTTATCTGTAGATTTTAATTTCTGTACAGTCTAATCTCTAATTGTCATACCATTCGAATGTCATCGAAAGAAATTGTTCTTTTAACCTAAAAAAGCAATGTAATGTTCCTTAGAACTCGTTCTAAAATGACAAGTTTCATTATTCCAGCTGCTGTAAGAAGAGGCTACAAATGATCCTCCACCTGCAGCATCCACACACACGATATAGTCTCCTGGCGGGACTCCTTCTTTTTGTATACAAGGGATGTAATGACGCAAAGACGAATGGCGGGAAACTCGGAAACCGACCCAAACCACTCAAATTAGAAAACATTATTACAAGCTTACCTTTTTGATTCGGGCTAAGGTAAAGAGATAGTTTTGAACACCGATTGGTTATATACTTGGTCAATAATTGATTTTGGACCATTTTTAACAAAAAAAAAAAGTTATGGAATGCAGCTTTAATATAATAAGAAATATAACAAATATCTATACACTACTGATCACATTTTTGGCATCAGTAAAAAAAAATTGTAAGAAATTAATGCTTTTATTCAGCAAGGATACATTAAATTGATCAAGCAAAGAACTTTCTATTCATCAAATAATTTTGAATATATATAAATATTAAACAGCTTAAAAAACAATAAGCATTATCAACATTTATATTAATAGGAAATGTTACTTGAGCACCAAATCAGCATATTAAAATGATTTCTGAAGGATCATGTGACACTGAAGACTGTAATGGATGTTGAAAATTCAGCTTTGCATCACAGGAATAAATTATATTTGAATTGAACATAGTTGTGTGGCCGCAGTGTGTGAAAACAACCAGCCTATAATGGTAAAAATCCACCCACTCATTTTTTATAATCCCAATAAATCATAAACAGTCTCTTCAAACGAGCAGTTCCAGATTTCTCCCTACATACACATCATCTTAGGGAAAAGTCCCGTCCATTTGTGACGCTCTCTGCCCTATTAGCATAGACACCGGCCTGAGTGAGAAGCAGCAGTCCGCCATTACTGATTTCTTGCTGTAGCTGCTGGAGATACAATGTCAGCGCCATAGAGGCATTACAAGTGTCGTGTGTTAGGATGCACCAACGAACATAGGAGTCTCCATAGACCGCTGAGGACACGGTGGTTAAATTTCATTTTCGAAGGAAATGTCCCGGAAAAAACCCCCCGAAAAGTCCTATATGTTTGTGCTAATCATTTTACACTGGACTGCCTCACAAACGAGGGTCAGTTCAGCACTGGAGTTGTGCAACGGTTGCTTCTAAAAGAGGGATCAATACCAGCGCTTCGAAAGCGAACGTCAGCTCCAGACAAAGTAAGTATCACGCACCATATTTTGTTTTCCAAATTGCCTTTCTGAAAGACTCTGTAAGGCTAATGTTGCTAAAGCTACCATTGTTTTTGCCTGTTTTCAATGATGCTGCCTTCACGTGCTACCAGAATATCGTAAATAGGAATGTGGTATAAAAATTGCATATGAAAGCAATGTGAAGTTGACCGAGTCTAAATTTGTCGAGCATGAGATCTTGACGCTCCGCCCTCTTCTGAAAAGGGAGGCGGGAGCACCAGCTCATTTGCATTTAAAGGGTGTAAGGTCCATGCAATTGGCCCAATGAAGGTATCCAACGGTGGCTGATGGTTTCCTGTGAGTTCTGTCTTTTCGGTGTGCAGTTATTGAATTTCAATTAAACTCTAATCTCACTCCATTTTATGACCTCGAATTTAGGTTAGAATGCCAATATATAACCTGGGCACAGTAGAGAGGTAGGTCACCAGTTTCCGCAAGTCTTCTTGCTTTATTCTGTCATGATTACTTCGTGCAGGGAATGTAAGGATAGGTCCTCCTCTCTTGTCTCTTCCTCCTGAAAAGAAAAGGACCGTTTTATTACTAATTTTACAACTCAAAGCACTTAAATGGCCCTAATTACGGTAATACCCATGAGCCTGTGTGCTGTGTGGGTGCATGCTTAAGAGGGTGCTGAGATAAAGCTGTTCCACAGTGAATGAATGAATGTGTATGTGTGTGTGTGTGTGTGTGTGTTTACAATGCAATTATACATTTCCCACCTGAGACAAAGGCAACCTTCTCTCTTAAAACTGTTAGAACATCAGCCGCCTTTATTCCATCATTCCTAAGAGATCCTGATGAGAAAGACGGAACTGAGAGAGAGAGGAAAAAAGAAAAAGAGAAAAGAAAGGGATATCAAAGTTATATACAGACTCAGGGCTGTAACCACCATAGACAAAGAAGGAAACATGCCTGCTCCAGTTTTCAGAAGACTGATCGAGAACTGAGAAGTGTTTTTCAAATGATTCTCAAAGGAAAAGTTCATCATTTACTCAACCTCATGTTCTTTCAACTAAACCCATATGATTTTATTTATTCTGTTTATTGCAAAAAGAGATGCTAAAGATCATGCTCTTGCTGCTCTTTTCAATACAATAAAAGTGAATGGTGAAGAGGACTGTTAAGCTCTAAAAATGTAAAAATAGCAACCATAAAGGTGGTCCATACAACTCTGCTCTGTATTCCAAAACAGTTGAAGCCACATATTAACTTTGTGTGAAAAACTGGATCATTAATTGAAAATATTCCCCTCCATCACAGTTCTTATATTTCATTTCAGCAATTCTGATATGCACATATTTAAATGTGGCATTCATGATACAGCTGAGACAAGAACCAAAAAAGTTTGACATCATTCTGGATGTTAACAATGATGTGCCATATTTGAAGTTATACCGATGTGAGCATTGGCTTTTTCCTCACAATAAGCTATTATAGAAATTCAAAGACTTCAAATTGTGTGATTGCAACTAATACTACAGCATTTGTATGGTTCTTTTAGTTATTTTTTTAGCTTGACACCTGGTCACCATTCACTTTTATTGTATGGTAAAGAGCAGCATGAACATTCTGCTAAATTTCTAAATTTTTGCTCTACGAAAAGAAAACATTCAGCTTTGAAATTACATGAAGGTGAGTAAATGATCTCAGAACTTTAATTTTTGGGTGAACTATCCCTTTAAGTTATTACATCAGGTTTCCACAAATACAAAAGAGTGGTCTCTTTCTTTTAAGGCAGGTGTAAATAGAGTTGATGCTATTTACACTAAGTGAACACATTATAAAACAGTATACAATAATAACAAAATATTCAGTGTATGTTTATTAAAATCATTAAGGTGCCCCAATTATGACATTTCGAATAATACATTAAGTTATTGTCTCCCAAAAGAAAGAATCGACTCTGAACAGCGTAAACGAGTCGTCAGTAATTTGAATCCCACTTCCGTGATGGCTACACATCACCGGGTAACACATTTGCATAATGCCCACCTATGTTCTACATTGGCCGGCTGTGAACAACTTGACCCCGCCCTCAAACACTCTAGCTTATTCATGTGGTTAATATTATGTCAAGAAGACGCTGTGTCCTACACTGTGAAAGTAAATTCATTTTATTTTCACTTCCAAAAGATGAGGCTGCAAAGAATCAGTGGTTAAAATTCACAGCAGTACAATCCCAATATTTTTTTGTTTTCCCGTCATTTTACTGACGGCTGCTTCTCTAATCTCGGGGAGTTCAACGCAGGATTCACAAAACACTTGCTGTTGAAAGATGGCTCAGAACCCAGTTTATTTGGACCAGCTAGCTCCACTGAATCACAACCTGTAAGTATGACAAATAATAGATGTTTATTTTTTTTTATTGAGCATTTAAAATAAGGAACTATGGCAATTGGCATATCGTTTCTTACACACGCTGTACGCGGTAGACCAATAACAACAGACTGGGCCATCTGACCAATTAGAGCAAAATAGGCTCACAGAAAGGAGGGGTTTAGAGAGCCTAATTCTTAGAACTGTTTCGAACGAATCGTTGGAAAATGAGATGATAATAAATGTATATTTTGAGAAAACAAAAGTGCTTTTTGACCTTGCATGCATGTACATCTATTGTAGGAGACTCCCAAAACAATATTAGGAACCCTAAAAATGCCATAATAAAATGCCTTATTGGGACCTTACTTGGCCCTATTCCTAAAGACTAAGATAAACTCACGGCAAAGTTCTTTTTGTGTTTTGTTTTTAGGAGTAAAAAGATGTTGAAAGGTATACTGTTAGCAAGCATCCTGACGCCACACACACTGCTAGAAGCGCATTTATATGAACATACATGCTGCACACTTTCCTCTCAATAACAAAATAAACACACAGCAAAAATGACAAAAGTGAGAAAACAGCAGTTAAGAAAGCATCTGATCATAGTGATGTGGATATGTTTGCCTGAGATCCAGTCAAGTCACTCTCACATTTTTAGAGCACTTTATATCATAGATTGCTTTAGAGCAAGCAGCTTTACAGTATTAAACATGAAAAAGTGTCAATGTTGCTTGCAATTAGAACTACAACTTTAATTTCTACTATAAAGCAGCTCTCAAGTGTGTTCATGTTTTTAACTTGCTGACGTCTGACCTTGACGAACTGAACAGAAGAAATGAACCAGAGAAGATTTCCATGTCAGAGAATGTAGAGCCCCACAGCACACCTACTTATTACATAATCACCACAGACCAATGGTAGTTTGAAGGTGTTTAAAAGTCAGAGTTCAACACGATACCTACCCCTAACCGTACTAAACCTGCAGCAAAAGTAAGGAAAGGAGTCACTTTCGAGCATGGTAATTATATGAGCTGCAAGCATCATGGTTACACAAGGACACATCCAATTTCAATTATGGGCCTAATAAATATCTATTAACTTCTTCACATTTATTAAAAAAAAAAAAAGTCTCTACAAGCAGATATGTGATGGGAAAAAGGTGAAGAATGGGATTAGATAAAGGCAGATTCGGACTTGGGTCGGTCTCGTCAAAAGCTAAATCCTAATCTTTACTCCCTACACCACAGTTCTTGTTAGCAGACTGGTTTCTTTTGTAATCATGTGTGGCTCAACCAGATAGTGGTTGACAGAATTGGTGTAAATTGCCTTTGCCAACAAGGTGGGTTAATTAGTGTAGACACTCTGTTCTTTTATAGATAATATATGACAATTTTGGTTTAAACATTGCATGTACTACAGCATCTTTGAATTCAAATGTGTGCAAATATAAATACACTGAAACAACAGTTCTGTTCTTTGTAAATATATATATATATATATATATATATATGTATACACAGGATTTTGTGTGGGCGTGCTACCAGCATGCATTCTGTAAACATTGAATGACAGACAACAGTATTAAGCATAATACTGGCTTCATGGAAAATAGAGTAGTAAGCCATAGTAGGTCGAGCGGGGGGCAGGGAGGCCCAGCGGTTGGCACATCTCCTTCTATTTAGATTCATTAGTGGTGTAATCTGCCCGCTCTGTAATCCCATAGCCGACAGCTGGGCACCGGGACAGCCGGTGGGGAAAAGTTCAATCACACTTAAAAACACAGACAGCAGAAACACATACAGTATATACACACAAGCTGCATGCTCACAGATGCGCCACATGCACTTGCATACACACACACACACACACACAACTGTGCAGTACATCTGTTCAGTCTGTATGAGGTCTAAAAAGGCCTTTACACCGCTTATGTCTGCATTTTATCTCTCTTGCTTGCTCTCGTCTGCAGACTACATAAACTATTAAACCTGAGTGGAAGAGTTTGATGCTGAACATGGCATGTTAAATTTACTGTGAGAACTTCCTTTCCCCAGCACCTGCTAGAGGGAAGATGCTATTTCACACACTCTCTCTCTCTCACACACACATATATAAGGACAGGGCTGTTTAAACACTATTGAACTTTCTGATCTGGCCTATTGTGTGGTGACAACATTGTCCCAGGTTCGGTGACGCGTGGGCTAAGTAAGTTCTCCAAAGCTCTCAAAAAAATATGCATTTACACAACAGTTCAAATGTTTGGGGCTGGTAACATTTTTAAATGTTTTTAAAAAAAGAAGTCTCTTTTGGTCACCCAGGATGCATTTATTTGATTATATATATAATATTATATTAATAACTTTTCTTTTTTAATATATATATATTAAAGTGTAATATTAAGTGTAATGATGCTATAATGCTTCAGAAATTATTATAATATGCTGATTTAGTTTTCAAGAAACATTTCTTATTATCAGTGTTGAAAACAGCTGTGCTGCTTAATATTTTTATGGAAAATGAGATCCATTTTTTCAGGATTCTTTAATGAATAGAAAATTGATTAAGAACAGCATTTATTTGAAACAGAAAATATTTTGTAACATCATTCCTGTCACTTTTGATTTGATTTATTCAGCATCCTGATGAATAAAAGTACTTCCTTCTTTCGAAAAAAAAATAAAAAATCGTACTGACTTTTTGAACAGTAGTGTATTTCATTATAAACATAAATGTGTGGTTTTAAATGTAGGGTAGGCGATTTCAGAGAGGCTAGCAATAGCAAGCTAGCTTTGAAAGCATAAGATCCCACTCTCCCTGCAAATCACTCTCCAAAGCCATGCCTCCTCCAAAACAATTGAACATGCACAGGTAGACCAGAGGCTAACCAGCGACATGATGAGAGACGGCGTTGGTGGAGGGTTGAATGCAACGCTGTCAGATTACCTCGTGTCTCATTCACTGTTGAGAAAACATTACAGTACAAAGTGAATAATATTACAATAATAATGCCTTCCATTCTCTCTTGGTCTACATTAGCGTAATGGACCGCGCTGCTGACGTATCATGTCTGCGCGAACAGGGTGCACAGAGGTATGCAAATACATGCGTATGTTGAGAGGCATGTAGGACAGACTATCATAGCCCTCGGACCGAGGAATATGATTAAATTAACATTTTATGGGCCTACGCCTTCCACAGACGATATAAATACATATAAAGTAATTTAGACCACTTAACTTAGTGAAAGAAAGAAAAAGTGGTCCATGCAACTGATGCTTCAAAAGTCTTCAAAAGCCATATGATAGCTTTGTATGAAGAACATGAAGAATAGTTCATGAGTTTATTGATTTAGTTCACAGATCAGTACATTTGTTTTTTACAGAAGAAAGAAAGTCATGCAGGTTTGGAATAACATGAAATTGAGAAAACGATAACAGAATTCTAACTAACATAGAATGTCAGAATCAACCAATCCAGATCAGATACTCTTCAG